CTATAATGTATGAGAATAGAAGTAAGTCTATTAGATGTAAATTGAATCACGTATTAGTACATGTACTATACACTATATGTATGACAAATGTGATCTATTCATATGGCATGTTCCCTTAACAATCATAAACATTGAAAAAACTTTTAAATTACGGACCAAATCTCCGTTGCATCTCCAGGGCTGTCAACACGTTGCAGAGTTTAGAGTTGCAATAAGCAATTATAGAATCATATGTTGCCTTGTGGGGGGGTGATAACTCTTCTTCTGGGCAAGCTTCATTCAGAGTTGCAAATCTGAAATATCCATCAGTTTCATAAGCTTGTGACTGCTTTATATGGGAAATCAACTACTGATATATTTGTTAAAGAAAATATGGTCTACTACAGATTAGAGATACTTTTATGCATATACAAACACATTTGCATACAAATATGACAAATTAACCACTTAAAATGGGATTACAATAACCTATTAGAATGTAATCAAAACATGCATGTACAGTATGACATTATGTATGAATGCAAAGTACTGCATCGTATCTCTTCTATATGACAAAATTTCATTATTAATGGAAAAAAAATAAAAAAATAAAAAAATATTGGCAAAACTCTGGGAGAAACCTTTAAAACATGCAAAAAATCTGAAAATCAAAGCCTATGAATATAATACAGTGCCGATAAAGAATAGATACAAGAGGCATATATTATCCAGAGCCTTTGTGTGAATGCCAGTCTTTGACTGTCTAAAAATATATATAACTGGATAAGGGTTTTGATTAGCCTCTTGACACTACCTATTCTATTCTGAAAACAGATCAGTTCAAATATATTAAATTAGAAGAATACAGTGTTTACTTACTTTGTTCCATATCTTTTATTAATCATTATGTAATAAAAAATCTGATGTACTTATCTATTAGTTAACTACTACCTCTGCATGTGAATTTTCTCAACACCATAAAAACTAAATCAGAGATTTTTATTGTCATACAGATCCAGTTCCCTACTCTTCATCTTCCATATCATATAGCAAAAACAATCACAAAACCACACACAACGAAAACTAGAGGAATTGCTCCTAATTACCTGTGTGCTTCAGCTGAGACAAACACAACACGTGCAGGTGCCGAGCGAGAAAGTATTGGCTGCAGTAGCACAGCGAGGTAAAACTGTGATAAGTAGTTGACCTGGAATGTGGTCTCAAGCCCATCTGCAGTTAAGGTGTGAGGTAGGCCAAAAACTCCCGCATTTAATATCAGTATATCACATCGGCTGTGAAAAATCAGAGACAAAATTAGTTAAACTACAGACCACTGAAACTTATCAAGTTCAGTATCACTCTAGTAAAATGAACAAATGAATCTGAACTTTTACTCCTTTTTTGTAAATAAATAAATCTATGTACCAGATATTAAAATTTGATGATGACATTTCTGTATTCAAATTTACATAATGTGATTAAAAAAAACATAATCACAGATTTTACAATTTTCAAATTGAAAGATTATCAAAACATGGTTGATCAAGCATTTATTTATGATGGTAAATGGTTAATGGTTAAAAATAAACAAATGCGCTACATATATGTGTGTGTGTGTGTGTGTGTGTGTGTGTGTGTGTGTGTGTGTGTGTGTGTGTGTGTGTGTGTGTGTGTGTGTGTGTGTGTGTGTGTGTGTGTGTGTGTGTGTGTGTGTGTGTGCACACAGTATTGTGATGAAAAGGGTAAAAATGAGTTAATGATTAGGATAAAATGTTTTAAATGTCATAGGTTAAATTGTTATAGGATAATATGGCAGTGAAAAAGGTAAAGCAGGGGAGCAAATGAAGTAAAGCAGAGATTAGTAAAAGAGGAAAGGGTTAAGGGCACAGGATGAAATGGAAAGTATCTCTGGCTAACGAAAGAACATGAATATTGTTTAAGGAAAACAGGCAAAAGATCCATTATCACACAATCAATGGATAAAACAGATAGAGATGTCGGTTGGAGAAGTGGGCGAAGAAGAATCCGGGGAATGAGATAAGGGGAGTGGGTAAGAAAATCAGGAGGGCAGGGATCTGCAAGGGATTAGGGCGGGAGACTTTATTTAAGATATCATTAAGATTTTCAGAATGACTGACTGGTTCTAGTCTTTAAAAAAAAGGAGTGTTAACATCTTAAAATGCAAATTGAAGATGAATGAAAGAACATTGCTATATCATCATGTGATACAAAATCATATATCTAATCTCTTACAAAAATGCTTCCTGATAAGATAACACACATGCAGAATTATCATACTTACTCAAACTTAATGGCAAAAGTTTGTGCAAAAGTCCGCACACTTTCAAGGGATGCTAAATCGATGTGCAAAGCATGGCATGATGCGTTTGGCCTCTGAGCCTGGATTTTTGATATTGCATTTTCTGCTTTGTTTATACTCCGGCAAGCAAACACAACTGTGCATCCATGATATGCCAGAGTTCGGGCTGTTTCGTATCCTGTAAGACAAAAATAATAAAACAAGAACAACAAGAATAAAATAAAAAAGAAGAAAGCTAACAAAACAAGAACAAATAGTGTAAATTCAAAAAGAAGAAAGCTCTTATCTATCATCTTATTTACTGAATTGTTTTTATTTTTTCAAAACTGAAAGCAATCTCCAAATAACACCATTGTACAGAATTACAATAGAGAAATGATTTTTCTTACTGATGTAAACTGAAAGAAATGTACAAAAACAGAATTGGAATGCTTAACTGCAATGGTACTAGCATATACTGCTGCAATACTGATAAATAGAAATAGTCTTTCGCAATGGTACAAAACACACATGGCTTGGATAATCTGAAAGTGATTGGAAGGAGAACTCACCTATTCCACTATTAGCACCTGTAATGACAGCAACACGCCCTGTGAGGTCCCTCCCATGAAGTACTTGGAGACCTGTCGAACTGCTGTCAAATCTCTGCCGCAGATCATTGATTGTATTGCTCTCCTCAACTGCAAAGGCTAGTCTAGGATCTGTGTAGGTAGTCTTGTGGTTGATGTGATCTACAAAGAACACTTTTCCGTCTTCTGTTATCTGTCTTTCCCATCCATAGGGTAATTCTGATGAAAAGATTCAAAGATCACAATTGAGTGACAGTGAAGAGGCAGAGCAAGGACTATAGCTCTTACCATATCATGGTATATGGCCCAATGAGCCATGTGAAAATAGGAAAAATGGGGGAACTGAAACTATGAACATCAAATTTACTATCTAATCTCTCAAAATCTGTTCCAATTTGATGTCAGATTATTTCCTAAGCACAAAGGAAATTGAAAAGCACTCTCTTTCTCCAAGAGGACCCAAAATCCTAAGTATATCTTGGAATCCAAACTTGCTAACCTCCAGTAACTTTTTTCCTCTTGTTAGTTCTGGGATGTTGCCACTGGGTTGTCTGAGAGCTATGACTGAAGAGAAAGTAAAGTAAAAGACATATTAATGTAAAATATGTAAAAGAGATATTAAGACATATCAATATAATGTAATTATACAATGGAAAACATAGCCACAATAAAAATCATTATTTTCATTCTAATTATTATCAATTTAAGATCATCCTTCTTCACCATAATTCAACACCACTTGACCTCATTACATCTTGATGCCTATGGCTTACTGTGCATAAAATACAAGTCCATCTGCTGTGCATCGCTCCTCCCATCCTGGAGGCATCTCATCTTCGCTGTCTGTCTCTGGTTGCTCCATTTTACTTTCTGTTGTTGGGGAAGATGGATAGCTAGACCTTGCTTATTCCTGTTGATCCAAAGGAAGATTTTGAGTAAAAGAATTTGGGTAGTTTCCTCTTGGTAATTTCAGTAAAAGAATTGTATTTTGGAAATGGAGTGGAGTGCCAAAGATTATCTGGAATGAATGCCGAATGTATAGTGGATAGGTGGGTCTCCAAGTTAATTTACGTACGAGAGTTTCAAACATATGGAGATTTCCGCATAACTGGGGGTATGTGTGTCCAAACGGGGTCTTGTGCTGGAAATCTCCTCCACAGTTTAAGGTCAGTTTTCATTTTGTATTTCAGTTAAACAGTAAAACTTACCATATCTGTTTATCTTCTCCAATTTGCTGTTTCTTTTGCTAGTTTTATTTTGTTTTTTGCTGATTCTTAAGGTTAAAAGTGTGTGTTAGTCTAGTGGTTAGTGTTAGTGTTAGTGTTAGTGTTGTGTGTGTGTGTGTATGTGTGTGGTGTGTTGTGTGTATGTGTGTGTGTCGTGTGTATGTGTGTGTGTGTGTGCTGTGTGTGTGTGTGTGTGTGTGGTGTGTGTGTGTGCTGTGGTGGTGCTGTGTGGTGTGTGTGTAGTGTGTGTGTGTGTGTATGTGTATGTGTGTGTGTATGTGTAAGTGTGTTATGGTGTGTGTGTGTGTGTTGTGTGTTGTGTGTGTGTGTGTTGTGTGTGTCGTGTGTGTGTGTGGCTGTGTGTGTGTGTAGTGCTGTGTGTGTAGTGTGTGTGTGTGTGTGTGTTGTCTGGTGTGTGTGTGTGTATGTATATGTGTGTCTTGTCGTGTGTGTGTTGTGTGTGTGTGTGTTATGTGTGTGTATGTGTGTATGTGTGCGTATGTGTGTGCTGTTGTGTAGTGTTGGTGTGTACTGTAGTGTGTGTGTTGTATGCTGTGTGTGTGTGTGTGTGTGGTGTGTGTGTGTGTATGTGTGTGTGTGTTGTTGTGTGTGTGTGTATGTATGTGGTGTGTGTGTTATGTGTGTGTGTGTGTGTTGTGTATGTGTGTGTGTGTGTGTGTGTATTGTTGTGTGTGTGTGTGTGTGTGTGTGTGTGTGTGTGTGTGTGTGTGTGTGTGGTGTGTGTTGTGGTAGTGTGTGTGTCGTGTGTGTGTATGTGTGTGTGTATGTATGTGTATGTGTGATGTGTGGTGTGTGTGTGTGTATGTGTGTGTATGTGTGTGTGTGTGTGTGTGTGTGTGTTGTGTGTGTCGTGTGTGTGTGTGCGTGTCGTGTGTGTGTGTGGTGTGTGTGTGTGTGGTGTGTGTGTGTGTGTGTGTGTGTGTATTGTATGTGTGTGTTGTAAGTGTATGTTGTGTGTGATGTGTGTGTGTGTGTGTGTGTGCTCGTGTGTGTGTGTGTGTGTGGTGTGTGTGTGCTGTGTGTGGTGCGTGTGTGTCGTGTTGTGGTGTGTGTGTGTGGTGTGTGTGTGTAGTGTGTAAGTGTGGTGTGTGTGTGTGTAAGCTGTTGTGGTGTAGTGTGGTGTGTGTAGTGTTGTTGTGTAGTGTGTGTCCGTGTAAGTGTGTTTGTGTGTAGTGTGGTGTGTGTATCGTGTGTGTAGTGTGTCGTTGTAGTGTCGGTGTGTCGTGTGTTGGTGTGTGTGTGTGTGGTGTGTGTGTGTGTGTGCGTGTGTGTGTGTGTGTGTGTGTGTGTGTGTGCTGTGTGTGTATGTGGTGTGTATGTGTGTCGTGTGTGTGCAATCGTATGTCGTATGTCGTGTATGTAGTTATGTGATGTGTAGTGTCATTTGTATGTGTATGTTGTTGTGTGTGTGTGTGGTGTGTGTGTTGTGTTTGTGCATGCCAAATCGTTTGTGCAATGTATGTGTGCTGTGTGTGTGTGTGTGTGTGTGTGTGTGTGTGTTGTGTGTGTGTGTGTGGTTGTGTGTGTGTGTGTGGTGTTGTGTGGTGTGTTGTGTGTGTGTATGTTATGTGTGTCGTGTGTATGTATGTGGTTGTTGTGTGTATGTGTGTGTGTTGTATGTCGTGTATCTCTGTGTATGGTGTTGTGTGCTGGTGTGTGTGTGTTGTGTGTGTCGTGTGTGTGTGTGTCGTTGTGTGTCGTGTCGTGTCGTGTGTGTTGTGTGTGTGTGTGTGTGTGTGTACCTAACATATTTCCATACTACTTTTAGATTGTCACAACAAATTATGTAAGGCATATAAGAGTGGTAATTTAAATCTGGACAGTGTAAAAGTGAGGACTTATTAATATATAACATAATAATATGCGTATACATACTGTTTGTTCAGGAATCTCTAAAAAAGCAGGCGAGAGAGGGAGGGAGGAAGGCCGAGAGAGAGAAGAGAGGGAGAGAGAGAGGAAGGGAGAGAGGGAGGGAGATAAGGAGGGGAGTGGGAGGGAGAGGAGGGATGGGTGAGAGGGAGAAGAAGAGAGGGAGAGAGGGAGAGAAGGGGAGGAGAGATGGGTAAAGAGAGAGGAGAGAAGAGGGTATGAGACGAGGAGAGAGGAAGTGAGAGAGGGAAGAGGGTAGAGAGAGAGGGAGAAAGGGTAGAGAGAGAGGAGAGAGCGGGAAGGGAGAGAGGGGAGGGAGAGGAGGGGACAGGAGATGAGGGGAGGGAGAGAGAGGCGGAAGAGAGAGGGAGGAGGGGAGAGAGAGAGGGAGAGAGGGGAGACGCAGAGAGGGAGAGATGGGGAGGAGAGATAGGTAGGAGAGAGGGAGAGGGTAGAAGAGAAGGGAGAAAGGGTAAGAGAGAGGGAGAGAGGAGGAGAGAGGGGAGAAGCCGCGAGGAGAGAAGGGTAGAAAGAGAAAGGCGAGCAGAGGTAGAAAGAAGGCGACGAGAGGTAAGAGAGGAGGGGAGAGAGGGTAGAGAGAGAAGGCGAGCAGATGGTAGAGAGAGAGGGACGAGAGGTAGAGAAAAGGGAGAGAAGGTAAGAAAGGAGAAGAAAGAGAGAGGGAGAGATGAGGAGGAGAAGAGGGCAAGAGACGAGAGAGAGAGAAGAGGAAGAGAGAGAGAAGAGAGAGGAGAGGAGAGGAATGAGAGAGGAGACTGAGAGAGCGAGAGCAGAGAGGAGAGAGAGAGGAGGGAGAGGAGAGGAGACGGAGAGGAGAGGAGAGGAGAGGACAGGAGAGGAGAGGAGAGGAATGAGAGGAGAGGAAGCGAGAGAGAGGAGAGAGAGGAGAAAGGAAGGAGAGAGAGAGAGAGAAGAGAGAGAGGAGAAGAGAGCAGAGAGAGCAGAGAGGAGAGAGTGAGAGAGAGAGAGAGGAGAGAGAGAGAGAGAGAGAGAGAGAGAGAGAGAGAGAGAGAGGAGGAAGAGAGAGAAGAGAGAGAAGAGAGAGAGGTAGAGAGGGAGAGAGAGATGAGGAAGAGAGAGAGAGAGAGAGAGAGAGGAGAGGGAGAGAGAGAGAGGAGAGAGAGAGGAGGAGAGAGAGAGAGGAGAGAGAGAGAAGAGAGAGAGAGAGAAAGAGAGAAGAGAAGAAGCAGAGAGAGGAGAGGGAGAGAGGACGAGGGGAGAGAGAGAGGGGAGAGAGGGAAGGAAGAGGGGAGAGAGAGAGGGGATAGAGGCAGAGGAGCAGAGGAGAGAGGAGAGAGAGAGAGAGAGAGAGAGAGAGAGATGAGAAGAGAGAGGAAGAGAGAGAGAGACGAGAGAAGAGAGAAGAGAGAGAGAGAGAGAGAGAGAGAGAGAGAGAAGAGAAAGACGAGAGAAGAAGAAAGAGAGAAAGAGAGGAGAAAGAGCTAGGCGAGGAGAGGAGAGAGAGAGAGAGAAGAGAGACGAGGAGAGAGAGAGAGGGAGAAGAGGAGAAGAGAAAAAGAGAGAAGTGACGAGAGAGAGAAGAGAGAGAAGGTAGAGAGAGAGAGAGAAGAGAGAGAGAGGAGAGAGAAGAGAGAGAGAGAAAAGAAAGAAGAAAGCAAAGAAAAGAAAGAAAGAAAGAAAGAAAGAAAGAAAGAAAGAAAAGAAAGAAAGAAAG